TCCCACCTCCGCGTCCACGTAATCAAGGATTATTCGGTTCGTTATTGCAATCTTTTTTCAATGGTCTGGAGGACGACGATTCGGATGACGAGCAACGAAATACAGCTTCAACATCGCACGCCGCGCAAGAACTTGATTGATTAAAGGTGAGGCAACACTGTGCAGTGTGATGCTGAATATCGAACTTTTATATATTATTCTTCGACCCAAATACTTTCACTAACTACACCTGTGTTAACCGACAATTTCATATTGTGGACATTATGTTTATAAAACAAAAAAAAAGCTAAAGGAATCACTGTCATTTGAAAAAAATAGTAATTCCGAACCATGTAGAACTTTGAGAGTACGTGGGACGACTTCTTACGGGAATTTATCAAAGTTGTAAGTTATGTACACTGAATTCACAATAGTAGAATTCAGATAGGCATCTTGATTATTTTATACATATCTAATACTTTCTACAACTTTTTTTTAGTCAAATAGATTTATGTATGTGCAATAATGAAGTGTATGGTTTTGAATAAAAATCTACAAATTCTTCAAATATGTAATTATCTGTATGTAAAAATTTGAAAGAACATGAGTTTTCATTCTGTGTACACTGTTATGAATTCAGCAATTATACTTAGACTTTGAATAAAATCCTTGCCATTAGCTACGATCTATGCATATAATCACCGTGCATATAATCACATGAATCCTATATACCTGCGTGTAACTGCTGAATCGAAAATTTATTTTATATAAACTAAAATGCGTGTGGACAAATAAATGTGACATAATTGTAGCTTCCAAAAAAATAATGCTTATCGAGACTGTTTGTTGCTGAGGCATCGAGAAAAAAAATTGTTACTCGGACAACAAGCAATATATTTATTTATTGGATTCTATATTGATATGGGTAATCGTTTAAAATATTAGAGAAAAATTAATGCATATATTTATAACTAAGAAAATAAAACGACCATCATAAAACGACCTTAATAAATAAAAATCTTCACAGCATTAATAAATAAAGGTAATATAATGTTGCTATATATTAAAATAAAAATAGACAGCATTCAACTAATAAATTTAGCTTTATAACAAATATATCTCTAGAAACACATAAATACATCGAGTATCTTTCATTATATTATATTTTGTTGCCTATTATCAAAATTATTTAGTAAAATATTTTTGATAATAATAAATCATTATAATTGATATGTTCGTGTTATAATCGAAGAAATCTACATTTTTTAATCTGTAAAAATTGATGTATAATTTGATGATAATCAATATATCAATTATACATTTAATATTAATACTTTGGAATGTATACTATCATTTTAAAATGGATAATTTAAATGAATATCTCACATCAGTCAGATCATGTGTGGAATTAGTCCTTTGAAGAATTAATTTAGATATTATATTTGTATAAATCACTTGAAAAATATAATAACAAATAACGATTACCCGATATATAATAGATTACTCTTAACAAGTCCCCCCTTTGTGTATCCAATAGAAATACTTAATTTAATAGTCATGAGTTATGTCAAATGTGCGAACATACCAGTCGTCATGTTTCTAATTAAACAAACTATTTCAGAATACAATAGATCGATACTTGCAACATTAATTAGTTCTAAATTGTATATAACGCATAATATTTTTTAGTACGAAATACTTTTCTATCTCAGTATATTCATGCAGTAGTTTTATATTGCAAATGTCAAGCAAAAAAATTATAAATTCGTTAAAATTTTTATGGACGTTAATCACAATATGAATTTAACAGTATATATTATAAAAAAATGACAAAATCAGTGATTGTAAACAGTTATAAGTAATATGTGAAATATATAGCAAAATTAATGAAATAATATTAAGCAAATTAGAAAAAAATCTAAAATCGATTTTGTTTATGTTTAATATTGTGTTGTACAAATAAAGAACGATAAAACTAAGAATGAGATCAGATATATAAAATACAAATACATTTAGTGCACGTGTGCGTATATATATGTGTATGTGTATATTCATTCATTTATTTACATTTTATCGTGCAAATATGGAGCTTTTGTTATAGAAACATTTTATTAAGTAATTCAGTATAGAAAAAAAGATTGCAATATTTTCTTGTAAAAAAGATATGTTGTTTTCCATTTTACGTTAATATAAACTCGCACATTATGTTCGTACATATACAAGGTGATCATTAGGAGTATGTCTGAACTAAATAGTTATTATTTTGCAATAAGGAGGCCAAATAAAATAATTTAAATGTCGTTTTGTGAAACTTGGGTCGTTTAGACTTGGTTGCACGTTACTTTAATTTTAAGCGAGACTTAAAACTCTTTGTCCCTGTCTCTTTTTGGTTTTAAAATGATATAGAGAGAGTTTTAAGTTTCGCTTAAAATCAAAATAACGTTGATGCAACCGGGCCTTAGTGAAAGAGAAAACTTATCAATTTCATTTGTACAAGCCAGTTTATGAATGTTAACATGATTGCATTAATTATCGAATGAAAGTTTCTCATTGATTATTCCTACAATAGAAGCAAAACTACACAAAACTATATCGTGGATTTCGTAATAAATATGAATCTAAAAAAGCTTGAACTGAAAGTAAAATAAATA